TCTTGAGCCACACATTTGAAGTTGCATAGGCCCATATTTTAGAGTCCAGGAGTTGAGATGTACATGTAGAAATGGTTGCAACTTCTAGCAGTCTTCAGACATTTTATTTCCCACATGCCCAACATTGCAGTATTTTTCTATCTAGGCACAGGGGTGGTTTTTCTGTGAACACAAGTGGGGCCAAATTCACTCTAGCTGGTGCCCTGTTTGCCTGGGAGTAAGTCCTATTGGTCTCAGCAGGAACTTACTTCCAAATAATCACGTCTGTATTGGCACAAAGTAACAACAACAGCAGCTTTTCTCTGTCACAGGAGCCACAGGGCAGATTGCCTAGAAGCATTGAATTATCACAGGAAATCAGGAAGAAAGTCACTTTTCTTGCTATTTGTCTCTAGGATAAAAATGTGAATTGTGCAATGATTTTGTCAATATTACACAAAGCCTTCAAAATCTAAAATAAATTACTTTACAATCTCAAGGCTCCTATTGATTTTCTAATGATCTCAAATGGAACACATTCCATTTCCAACTCTCTGGCAAATTGCTTGCTCCCTGGAGAATTCCTATTGGATTTCTATTAAAGGGGAGGTTAAAACCATTCCCCGGAAATCTAGGGGGAAGGGAGGGGCAGGGGGAATGAGGCTTTTGCATGGGCTGAGCTCTCTGTAAATGGGTATTTAACCTCTGACCAATGACGGCAGGTCTCTTTCAGTTCTATTAGGCCAACAGCAAGCTACTATAATTAAATAAAAAAAAACTGTTTAGAGCCCCACTGAACATGTCCTGGGAATTAAAGCATATGGCAAGGATTGGGGGGAAGAAGACTTTCCATATGCTAATGACCCTTGATGTCTGAAATAAATTAGATCCATTAGAGTTTATGCTCAATAAAAGAAAGACTTTAAGCACTCCAAAGTTAGTGACTCGAGACCGATTTTTGGCTCTGAAATTCAATCTGCCTACTTATTAATTCTTAGTGAGGCTCCTGAGCAGACAGGAGATGCAAAATTATAATAGTGTGCTGAATCAGAATTTTAAAGTACCATGGGTTTCCTTTCCTTTTTTTTCTTTTTGAATTAAACCATTCTTCATGTGTTGTTTGGTTTTTTTGTTTTTTGTTTTTAAAAAAGCTCCCTTTGTTAATTTGATTTTGTTCCCATCTTTTTTTTCTTTTAAAGGTTTCATTTACCCTATTTCAACCGAACAGAGAACCCAGAATGAATATGGATTGTCTTGTAAGTGTTGTTTGATATTATGTTCTTAGATACCAATTTCCTGCTCCCAAGATTTACTTTCAGCCTAACTTGTATGTGTTTTGCTAACTTTAAAGAGGTGTATTGGCTGCTACATTAAAGAAACCAGTGTAGATAATGGGATGAGAAAAGGACAACAGGAAAACATGTGGAAGCAAGAGACTGAGAGAAGTGTATTCAGATCCCCACAGAAGCCGGAGAACAGGAAGCATAACATGGCTGCAAACATGTGATTTGTATTAAGGAAGAGAAACTCGCAAGAGGGAATATATGGTTGGCAGATTTTGCTTCTACTCTTGTTTGAGAAGGCTGAATAGAATAAGTGGCAACATTTGCAAAATGGAGCCTTTAAATTCCATTAGCACAGAGTAAATTGAACTTGATCATTCCTTCTTGGAGATTTCTCCATTTTCAGCTGTGTAGCTAGGACTCTGTTGGGGAGTTTAAAGGAAGCAAAGAACAAAAAAAAGTGTGTTTTCCTCTCTCTCTCTCTCTCTCTCTCTCTCTCTTTTTAGAAAAGTGTTATCTTTATACAGAAAGAATGCATAGTGGCTTGCTAAAAAAAATTGTTGGTGTGTTTGCATTTCCTAATCTTAGCCTGCTTGAAAATAATAATGGTGGGATTTTTGTCCCTCTCTACATCAAAACTCTGCATCAAATTTGTTACATACTTAAGCCTTTTGGAAAGATACCTTGAGGGAGGGTATGTGCAAAGAGTGGCATTAAGTATTACACTGGGATTAGCAAAGGAGATGTGTTACAAGCAGATAGTGAAAATTCTCACAAGCTGGACAGGCTCCCTCAGGAGAACTACTGAAAATCCTGGCTTGCTTTTAGAGGTTTTTATAGCACTTGAATCTGTACTGAATTCTGAGAATAAATGTAGCAAAGTGAGTAAGCTGGGAAATTCTAGCTCAGTTCAGCTGTGAACTTGGTGGGCAAACTACTGTTCCTAAGCTTTTGCCCCAATATGGAGCTAATAGTACTGTCCTATGTTACAGAGTTTTTGTAAGGGTTCATGGGATAATTTTATGTGAAACATTCTGGATACTCAGATATGTTCTGTACATTGCTTTCTTTCTTGTTGAGTCAGTATTAACTCTGCCCTTCCATTTAAAAGGTCCTATACATTAAAAGTAAAAGAATCACAACAGCATAAAGCCACATTTAGAGCAGGACCATGAAGCATGATCTAGGAACACACAGAGAGACCAAACTTTTGCTGATAAGACATTCAAGTACACAGAGCATTCTAGAGCTAGAACACATTAGCTCCAAAAGACTTTGCCACCAGTTGCCAGACACCTCACTTCAGAGGGTTGAAGAAGAACCTTCAAACTCTATTAATGCATGGACAGATGCGCAGGGGAGAAAGGCAGTCCTACAGCTTGTATTACCCTGCTTTGTGCATATGGTTCAGACTCCATCCCCAGTATGTGTTTCAAGCCATGGCAACATTTCTGTTTATTCTTCTGTTATATTATTCTGTTATATGTAGAGTTGACTGGATTGTCGCTGTCAGCCCACACTGGAGGCAGGAGAAACTCTTGAGCCTTTCCTAATTCTTTGGGCAGCTGCTGTAGGCTTCTTCTGCTTGGCAGATGGCAAACCCCTTGAATTCTGTCCATTTGCTCATAAATGCGGGAGGGGACCTTAGATCCCAACATCGCTTTCAAGTCAAAGTCTTGAAAAAGAGCTTTTTTAAAAAATCAGTTATTTTGATATTTTATTTATTGTTGATTAGGAGCCTTTAGGAAACATTTCTTTGTCAGTTGTGTGACACTTTCCATCAGGTTCCTGGTGTGTTGCAGAGCTTCCATAATGGCTGGTCCACTCATGGCTTTAGAGCTGGCATTGGGAAGCTGTGAGCTTTCAGTTGTGATTAGCTGACAATTTAGTATACGTTCTGCTGAAGCAATCATTCCTATTGCGCTATGCATGAAAGCTGGAGCCCAACACCATCTAGAGGACCATAGGTTCTCCAACCTTGCTTTAGAGGAAGCATACCGTGCTATTCAGCAGCAGTGTACCCACAGTCCCTTAGTCATGAGAGCGCCCATGGAGCTTTCCCTGTCCCTTCAATAGAGGGGGCAATCCACATATGTGGATCGTGGTGTGGATTGCAAGGGTGTGGATTGCAGACAAGAGAGATCTGCAGGGCCATCTCAAGCCATCTTGCTGCCTGAGGTGAAAGACAAGATGGCACCCTTCCCAATGGGACATAAAGAAACCAGTTGGGTTGGCAGTTGAATCTTACTGCAGTACTGGTGAACGGAAAGTATCTTCACCTGCAATTGAGGACAGCCAGCTAGCATAAGGGGTACAGGGCAGGCTACATGGCACTCACAACTGTGTCTCCTCCCCGCCCTTCAGTATCTGCTGCCTGAAGCAGCTGCCTCACTCTGTCTAATCATAGATCCGTTCCTGAATATTTGTATGTGTATGCAGGAGAATTCTAAACGACACAAGCAATCACAGTGAATATCTTGATGGAAACTTTGTGATTAACTGAAGACTGAGTTATGTGCTCTTAAGCCCCCTTTCAGGCCATGAAATTTTGGCATATACGTTTCCCTTAAGAAATATGCTTGATGAATATCAGATTCAGAAGATGACTGCCATTTTCTGTACTTATTTAATTTAAGGTTGGCTTGCTTTTTAAAAAGTGAAACATTCAATGTAAGGGGCAGGGGAGGAAGAAAGAGAGTCTGTTTTATGATCACATGCCTTGATGAATTAGCATTGATAATTTCACCATGAACTGCTATGGTGAATACCTCTTTTGATTAAATTTCCTTGTTCATCCGGTTATAAACAGTATGTTATTCTACCTCCTTACAAGAAAGAAAGATACATAGATGAAGAATTAGAAAACAGCTATGAGAATTATTTTTAATAAATATAAATATCTACTAAAAGTGGAGAGTTTTTGAAGTAGTTTTTAAATTAATCTATAAAACTGGTAGTATGCATCTGTAGGAAAGGATAGCAATGTATAAGTATGCTTTCATACATTCTTGAGACCGTAATTAATACTTTATGCTTCTCTGCCCCAACCCACCAACTTTTCCCCCAGCTGCTCCTGATTCAGATGACGTAGCTCTCTATGTTGGGATTGTGATAGCCGTGATCGTGTGCCTGGCAATTTCAGTGATCGTCGCATTATTCATCTACAGGAAGAACCACCGGGACTTTGAGTCAGATATTATAGACTCCTCAGCGCTAAATGGTGGATTTCAGCCTGTTAATATCAAAGCTGCGAGGCAAGGTTAGTTTCCCTTTGGCCTTTCACATTGACCATAAAAAGACAATCTCTAGGGCCATGTGAATTACAGTACATTTCCTGAAGTCGTCCTAGCACCTAGCACCCTATAAGGAATCAAAATTTATCTGTATGTATGTATATATGTGTATACATCTTCCTACCAGGTTTAGTGACCGCTAGTAACTTGAATGGCCATCTTTTAAAAGAGGATTAGACAACTTTATAGAGGAGAAGACTATCAATGGCTATAATTGATATGTTCTCCTTCCACTCTTGGAGCCAGTATGCCTCTGAATACCATTTCCTAAGAACCACAAGCAGAGAGAGCACTGTTGCACTCAGGTCTTGCCCATGTGCATCTCATTGGCCTCTGTGTGAGCAGAATGCTGGACCAGATGGTCCTTTGGCCTCATCCACCAAATCACTGAATTGGAAGGACCATGAGGATCATCTGCTCCAATCCCCTGCAGTGTAGGAATCTTTTACTCAACATGGGACTTGAACCCACAACCCTGAGATTAAGAGTTTCATGCTCTACCGACTGAGCTATCCAATAAGGTTTTCATTTTGATATATGCATTTGTTTCCTGGGACAAGTGCTAAAAGGCAGGTCATGAAATTATGGGTCAGCAATTAATCAACAGGATGAAGACAGAATGTAGATTTTCACTGAATGCTATCAATTTACCTTCCCTTATCTTCCATAATCCCATTTTAAACCTATTAGTTTCCCTTTCATTGTGGTGAATCTAGATGGTAAGTCTCCTCAATCAGGAGTCTGTTTTTGGTACAGGGTTTGGAGACACCAGGACCAAATCCAGCCTCAGATCATTCAACCTGCAGCCTTCAGTAGTACAGCCCAGGGGGGTGGGAAATATATTGATGATATAAATTGACCCTTAGGCTTGATTGTGCTCATAAATATTTGTGGCTATGATGCTTCAGAAAATGAAGGCATGTAAGCCTCTTGGCACTTGATGAAAAGCACTTGCTGGGGCTGCAATTCTTTTTTTCTTTAAAGAAATCATATTTTGCAAATTAAAGTTAAATCAAGTTGGAAGTAAACGTAGCCAGAGTTTTGTCCAAGGCAGAAGATTAGCAGAGCTGCAGTTTGGTTGCCAAGGATTCATTTAAATCATTGCTACAGAAGACACTCAAGAAGATGCCACAGGCAACAATTCAGTCCTGACTAGGAATGATAAAGTACATGATTTCATAGTTATTTGGAATTCTCTGTTTCCTTTTCCTGTTCCATTTGGTTGCATAGGCTGATGTTTTGCGGTCAGCATTTTGCATGAAAAGTATGACAGAGAACATTTTCTTCAGAGAAATTTGGAGTTGGACTCCAGTTGCCATGACTATAGCCTTATCAACTGTTGCCCTCTGTCCAGTACTTTAAATCCAGTCCTGACTTATTGCTCCATCACCACCATCATTATTAAACATTTGCTGCTACACTTACTTCTATACTATAGAAATCTCATATAACCAAACAAAGTGCATATGAACCAGGCACTTTCAAACTTGCGTCAAAATTAGTACTGAGGGGAGAGAATCTGCATTCAGAAACACAATTATAAAAAACGAAGCATACTTGGCAGGAGCTGAAAGAAAAATAATTCTGAGTTTCACACTTCAAAACTTTACTAATATTTTGGCATGAATTTGGGGTTTCATTATTGCTAGCTGTTGGGCTTCATGAAGAGAAATACAGTTTTCAAAATTCTGAGCTTGGGTTCTGCTGCTAAAATCAATATTAAAAGTTATGGGATTTGTCTAGTCTTGGGTTTTTGGAGCTTTGCTGACCTAATGCAAACAAATTTTTGGTTTTCAGAGACTTGGTAGAGTAATAGGGATGTTCTTTTTTTCCTGAATTGCATTAGTCTCCTTTCAAACAGGCTTTGGAGTTGTTGCAGTTTTTTGAAATATCCTTTGACTTGTATAATAAAAAGAGGAACTCTTTAAGGTTGGAGAGATACTTTCCTTTATTTTCATTATTTCCAGTAGTATGTTCAATTAGAATGAATTTCCCTTTTAACCTGTTGACGAAAGCAAGGATGTAAATCACATGGATCCAGCTAAAAGCCAGTGATTATCGCCTCTCAATACATCAAGTAAGGAATAGCAACTTTTCCCCCCTAGACAAGCAGTCTTCTCTATGTCTCCATGTAAATCAGGGTTACCAAAACAGGTGTTTTCAACATCTGGAGAGCATCATATTAGCTACCCTTGATATAGATATTCATCCTGGATTTCATCTGCCACAAAGCCACATTATTTTTTTAACTCCAGCCAATATCGCACCTAGTAAAGAGTATGCATAATAATTTCCATATCACTTTTCTTTTTATTAACACAGACCTCCTAGCCGTGCCTCCAGACCTCACTTCTGCTGCAGCCATGTACAGGGGCCCTGTCTACGCTTTGCATGATGTGTCAGATAAAATACCAATGACCAACTCACCCATTCTTGATCCACTTCCCAACTTGAAGATCAAGGTGTACAACAATTCGGGTGCAGTCACTCCACAGGATGAGCTGTCCGACTTTTCTTCCAAACTCTCCCCGCAGATCACTCAATCCTTGCTGGATAACGAAGCATTAAACATTAAAAACCAGAGTCTTGCACGGCAGACAGACCCATCATGCACTGCTTTTAGCACCTTCAACTCTCTTGGAGGTCATCTGATTGTACCAAATTCAGGTAAGTGACTTCAAATACAGTAGTTGATTTTTTTATATTTATTTTTAAAACTGACTGATGTGTCCAAAAATATGGTTTAAAGTGTGTGTGTGCGCGCGCACACACACACACAGTCACACAGACACACACACCAGCAAATAAAATTATTTAGGTCATTCTTGGAAATCTATATCTTCTGTGTTTAGACCAAAGAGTGCTTTCTCCAATTTGGGTTTATTCAGCTATTACACATATTCGCTCCCCAAAGCCCTGGCCTTCTTTAGCAGAAAATTGCAAAGCTCTGAGTCATTGCCTTCAGAAGCACTGGCCTCTCAACTTCCATGTGTGAAGTGGGATTCAGAACCCTTGACCTTTTCTTTCATGCAGCACCAAAAGACAAACCAACCTTCCAGGCAGAAAGCCTCACTGTTGGCACTAGACATAAAAGGACAAATTAATTACAAAACAATTTAGTCATTCCAAGTTTCAGTTTGCTGTAAACACCATGGATAGAAAGGAAGATGCTTAGAATATGAAGATTTTTATTTTTCTCGGTGCAGATTCCAGTGCAAAGTGTTGCTCTTGCTGCATTGAACCCCTCACTACATATGTGTTTTCATATTAGAAAGTTATTATGTAATATTTAGGGGTTTCAAATAGGGAAAGTTCTTTTTCCAGGATTATAATGGTCATTTTCAGAAGTACATATAAATGCACACAGAGCATTGCAAAGGAAGGGTTTCTAGCTGTATAGGGGAAATTCACTGTGCATTTAACTAAACGCATGTGGGCTCTCAGGAATTTTCACAAATGTGTGTAGCTCTGGGGTGGAGTATGCTGCCACAATGCCACCACCCCACCCTTCCTAGGTGTGCATTGCACCCATTTAGAACATCTGAAAAAGGGTAGCCTGGATAGCTCAGTTGGTTAGAGCATGGTGCTGATAACGCCAAGGTTGTAGGCTCAATCCCTGTATGGGACAGCTGCATGTTCCTGCATTGCAGGGACAAGATGAACCTCAGGGTCCCTTCCAACTGTATGATTTTATAATTCTGTGATATTGCATACTGATTTAAGGAAGGTCATGGAAAGAAAGCTTCCCCTCCCCCCCGAAAAAACCCCCACACACAACAACAACAGCACCTTATCAGGATGTTGGAGGCCCTCCTGAACAAACATAGGGAAATGCCTAGGAGTCAGAGCAATGGCTAGCTCAACACTGTCACTGGCAGTGGTTCTCCAGTCTTCCCATCCCAACCTGAAGGAAGCAGGGGTTGAATGTGGGATCTTCTGCAAGAAAGCAGAAGCTCTATCTGTTTGTTATAGTTCTTCCCCTGAATATGAGATAAGTTGGGGGTTGGGGGCTGGGAGGCAAAGGGTTGCTGAACAGATATGAAACTTTCCTTCCATTAACTTCCTTCATTTATTTTAGGATCTGGTTTGGAGTGATTCCTAACTCCCCATGCCCTATTCAACAATATTCAGGACTGACTACCACATCTAAATGGTAGATGGTGACCAGATAAACTGATATCTTTTGGGCGGCAGGAAAAAAATGCTCCTGTTGTTTCATGGGGCAATGCTTTGCTGGCCTTTCTAAAAGTTTAATTAAATGAGAATTGCCAAGGGAAATGATCCCATTACTACTGTTTGGAATAGTAGATGTAATTGTTGTTTTCCCCTCCTTCATTTTTACAATGTAAGCAACAGAGCAGCCATCTGCTTGTTCCTTAAATAAAACAAAAAGGGAGGGGGAAAACACCCCCTTTTCCGACTCCTTCATTGCTGGAGACAAGCGGAAGAGGCATCAGCAAGTAATAAACTGCCAGGTAAAAGCATCAAGATAGCCATAAAGCACCCTGCTTTGAGTGGGATTTTGGCATGCAGCGCCATGTGTTCCCGAGCTTCTTCCTCAAAAGGTCAGCCTGCCTTTCTTTTCCACTCTTTATTTTATCTGCTTTTTTCTCTCTCTCTCTCTCTTGTTGTTGTTCTGCAGGAGTAAGTTTGCTGATTCCTGCAGGGGCCGTTCCCCAGGGGAGAGTCTATGAAATGTATGTGACAGTTCACCGAAAAGAAAACATGAGGTAAAAGAAGGCTCTGCTTACAGTGCATTTGCTTTAGCGCTAATTGCAGGGAGGAGGCAAAGTGTGTGAACACAGCGTTCTGATCAGCATATATCTGTATCGACACAAGACTGGAAAAGCTGCTGAGGCCACAGAATGGTTTGCAAGCAGACCCAGAAATGGAACACTCGTGTGTGTGTGTGTGTGTGTGTGTGTGTGTGTGTGTGTGTAAATCTAACCAGAGGTCTCTCTCATGCGGTGTAGGAATTTGAATTTTGCAGCTACTCAGCTCTCAGGTTCATACCAGTATTCAAGGGGTGGGGGGAAGCAGCAGCCTTGAAGGTGCTGTTCAACTCCCTCCCACCCATCCACCTCCAAAAATTGTCATACAAAAAACCCATCAAGAGCTATGTAAGCCTGTAGCATGGCAGACCAGCATCATTCTGAAATCCAGGATTTAGGATCGTTTATCACAATTGCACAGGGACGCGGGTGGCGCTGTGGGTTAAACCACAGAGCCTAGGACTTGCCGATCAGAAGATCGGTGGTTTGAATCCCCGCGACTGGGTGAGCTCCCATTGCTCAGTCCCTGCTCCTGCCAACCTAGCAGATAAATACATAAATAGGTACTGCTCCGGCGCGAAGGTAAACGGCGTTTCCGTGCGTTGCTCTGGTTCGCCAGAAGCGGCTTAGTCATGCTGGCCACATGACCTGGAAGCTGTATGCCGGCTCCCTCGGCCAATAAAGCGAGATGAGTGCCACAACCCCAGAGTCAGTCATGACTGGACCTAATGGTCAGGGGTCCCTTTACCTTTATCACAATTGCACATTTTACAAAAACACCAATAGAAATAATCATCAGTGGTAGTTGTTTGAGTACTGAAGTACAAGTTTGATTTTAACAATGGAAAGTTACAAGCCAAGTTCAGCACTGCAATCCTGTACTTGGAAAGAAGTCCCGTTGAGTCCAATGGGTCTGATTCCTAGGTACCTGTGCTTAAGACTGTAGCCTAAGGTAAACAATACATAAGATTGTGTTGTGAGTGTTAGAGGCGTTAGAAAACCAGGCCCTCTTTGAGCAAAGCTAATTCGCTGCAAACATGGCGTCCCGTGAGCCTCACTTCACAATACGACAAAGCATCTCTTAATAGCTCAGACTAAAAGCAGAAATGTGTTATTCCTCCGGGCCTCCATCCCAGCTCCTTGTTTTTGCACCTCCATGCTCCAGAACTTTTATCTCTCCTTCTAATCTCCCTAGATTCATTCCGCTTGAGCTTGACAGCATTCACTCTTTGGCCAAATAATAAAGCTGCTCTTTCTGCTGGATGAAGGCTGTGGGTGTCAAAGCACTGTGAGGCCTCTCGTGTGCTATCTTCCCATTAAAGCACATAAAAGCCTGAGGGTGTCAGTGAAAGTGTTAGTAAGCCATCAACATGGGAATCTAATGGTCCATATGAAATGGTAGTGTTGCTGTCAGATACTCACAGGATCTTGCTTCACTCTCCCCAAAAGGCATGTTAATGGCAAGGAAAATTCTGTAAGTTCAGCATCGTTTCAGGACTCTCTGCCATCCCAATGATAATGCCCATTGTTATTTCTGAGATATTATTTTTATTTTACAAAATACTGTTGCAAAAATACATAAACAAAACGTCCCTGAATTATTATCCTTACGAATAATAGTAAGCACACCTTTTTAAACATCTTTTGAGCTGTAATATATGTCAGCAACAATCTCTAGAACATTAATCACTTGATTAACATCAATAAAAGTATGTGTTTTGCTGTTTCAAAACTTGAGAAACAAACAACAGTCTTTGTTGTAATAATTACATCTTTGTCTTCCTTCTTTTGTTCTTACGTGTTGATTTTTTCCTTAATTTCATGTCAATGAAATTTATCTTCTTTCATTCTTCATTTATAGGAATTGTTCTTTCTTTACAGTACTCAGCATAAAGAAAGCTAGCTGCTGCTACCATATGACATAGCAATTCTTTAACATCTCTTAATTACAGATTTAAATTGCTAAGTATAATAAAGGAATGAGATATATATTCTTTCAAATTATTCTATTAATTGCTCTAGCAACCGTAAACCAGTACTTTATTAGCAAAGAGATAAGAATCAGTGCATGCTTTCCTCAAAGTAAGCCCCATGGAACACATGAATGTAATTTCTGAATAGACATGCAAAGGGTTGCATTGTTAGGGAGCAATCCTATGGCAAGTTCCACTAGGAGAAACATAGGGCTGGGCTGCCCATAACACAGTGTGAAGTGGTTGCCTCTGGCAGAAGATCTGGGCCCAGGGAACACACTGCTCACTGTTGGGTCATGCCCCCACCATGCCCCCTACCACTATGCCCCTCACCCATGGAGGAGGCAGGGGCATGGCGGCAGAGGACACAGGGGAATGGCCTTAATTAGTGAAACATCCTGGGCCAGCCCTGGATAAGCAGCTTCAGCCAGCATTAAGTCTCCAACCCTGGCTTAACCCAATATACGCAAGCGGAACTTGCTTATCCTGGCTCCGCCAGCTGAGCTGAAGCTGGTAGAGTCAAGACTGGTGTAAGGTAAAGGTAAAGGGACCCCTGACCATTAGGTCCAGTTGTGACCAACTCTGGGGTTGTGGCGCTCAGCTCACTTTACTGGCCAAGGGAGCCGGTGTACAGCTTCCGGGTCATGTGGCCAGCATGACTAAGCCACTTCTGGTGAACCAGAGCAGTGCACGGAAATGCCATTTACCTTCCCGCCGGAGCGGTACCTATTTATCTATTTGCACTTTGATGTGCTTTCGAACTGCTAGGTTGGCAGGAGCAGGGACCGAGCAACGGGAGCTCACCCCGTCACGGGGATTCGACCTTCTGATCGACGAGTCCTAGGCTCTGTGGTTTAACCCACAGCGCCACCCGCGTCCCAAGACTGGTGTAAGTCTCCCCAAAAGTGGCATTTTGGGAGTGGGGTGGGGTGGGACCAGAGAAGAGGGACTTAGGCTGGATCCTAACCATGTTCAGCTTGGTCGCATCACCTGGCAACCCAGCAAAGAGCACTATTTTAAAGACTGTGTTTTCCCTCTATGAGGCTTAGAACCCAGCCAAACTTGAGCACATTTAAGTCCCATTCATTTAAGTGGGCAAGTAATGCATTTGATTATTATTGAATCTTTGCAAAGGTCTAGCACTATTGTGATTACCATGTGATGTTATTAAAAGCAGCTTCCAGAGCACATTTGCCATCTCTTGGTGATGGTAGCGTGCTGTGATGTGGGTGACTGGCAAACAGATATTGAAAGATATTGAAAAGGAGCAGAATATTAAAATAACATTTGTGAGATCCCTTTATAAGTCGGGAGTTGGAGAATTATTTTTTAAACACTTACCCTTTTTTAAGGAATGCATTTGACAGAATTAATTTGATCATCGTACGAGTTTTATTAGCTCACCCTAGCAGCTGTGAATAAAAAATCCAAATAATTAAAAGCCTGTACAGACATCCTCTCTGTCTCAGTTTGGATCTGTAGACAAAATTGTGAATCATTTTCAGTTACTGGGAAATTTGCTCGTCTTTTTCAAAAATTAAACATGGGGGAGGATAAAAGTGATAAGAATGAAATGGGAAATCCGAATTTGGAAGAAGAGGCAAACAAAATTCATAGAGCAAGACAGCAGTAGGAAGACAATAGAGTTTTAAATTTGCAAAGCCTTCAGTTAACCCGACTGGAAGGGTTACCATTTGCTCTTTGTGAGTGATTCATTTCCCTCTTCTCACTCTACACTCTTCTTTCTCCTTTTCCTTGAATATAGCTGTTGAAACTGCATGTCAGTCAAAAAGCAAGATTTCACTTTTGCAAACCAAATCGCAGACATACTGACAGATGGCACAATCGGTTTAATGAAATCTGTATGGCACTCACCACGAGCT